GCAACCACAGATCTACTGAAATAACGAAAAATAATCTTCTAGCTGAAACTATTTTATAGTTTTTAAAATCAAAATATGCATATTTTATAAAAGCTTGTTTAAAAGCATTACATTGCTATGTGATAGAGATCACATAATTGCCTGCTGCATAGGGAAATTTTACCTTGGTAAGGACTGTGATGAAATGGAACCACTAGGTGAGGAACTAGCATCAATATCATCAATAGGAGATGTGCAAACAGGTTTACTTGAGGCAAATTCCAATGCATACTGTAGAACATCAACCAAGGGGAATCTTTTGGGACCAGAACCGTAGCTTAAATATCTGTAAACAATAAAATATACAATGTTCTTATCTGTATTTATAGGATATTTGTTTTTTTTAAGTAAGTCTTACAAACAGGAGACAATACATCAATAACTAAGTCAGTAATAAAACTCTCTTGCTTTGAGATGAAGAAAATAAAAGTGAATATACATTCAATGCTCTTCATTTCAAACCAAAACAGTGATGTATAACACTGATGTTTCTTAAAATATAAGAAAATTTAAGAAAATCTGAACAGAAAATAAGAAAATCTCAAATAAACACTGATCTACTGAAATAATGAATACTTTTCTAACTGAATCTATTTAAATCACAATATGCACATTTTATAAAACCTTATTTAAAAGGTATTACATGTTATATTCTTCAAAGAAAAGACTCCAAAGCTGATAGATTAAAAGTATATGCATTGTGTATTCTGCTGTAACTTTAAAATGTCATTCTAAATTGTAATTTATCAGGAACACAAAATTGGCAGGATTTTCATTTTTAAATCCTGCACCTGGTCTCATGATCAAGGAAGCAACTTTTACTATTCTCCAACCTTTACCTCTAGAACACTTTCATTGCAATTACTGGAAAGAATAAAAATTATTAAAGTAAGATATATTAATTCAACATAAAAAGTTTTAGGCTATTAATTTGTATGTTAAAACTAAAAGAAAGGAAGTCAGATAAAGTTATAAGTGGAAAAATGGGCTTCCTCGAGCATATTTCAACCTGTAGACTTATCTGACTTCCAGAACACCCAAAGTCTAGATTCTGTGACTGCACCCACGTCGTGCAATGTGGGTGCTGGCAATTGAACCCAGGTCCTCTGCAAGAGCGAGCACTCAGTGCTCTTAACTGCTGAGCCATCTCTCCGGCCCCCTCTGTGGGCACTCTTTTTTTTTTGGTCTTTTTGAAGCAGGGTCTTCCTGTAGCCCTAGCTGTCCTGGAACTCACTATGTAGACCAGGCTGGCCTTGAACTCACAGAGATCCACCTGCCTCTGCCTCCCAAGTGCTGGGACTACAGGAGTGTGCCACCACGCCCGGCTGTGGGCACTTTTTAACTAACATAAAGCTCTGATTCACAAAATAGTCTGCATACGAGCCCTTCCCTTGTGTTACTGGGTGGCAGACACTCTAGTTACACCCTCCTATGCTGCTTAATTTCCCTTCACTGCCCACCTGTATTCCTGAGGCGATTCCCTTTATGAAGCTTGGCGGCCATAGAATATAATTCTGAATCCTCTCACTCAGCTGCCACTGCTCAAGCATAACATTTAATCTCACACTCTCTCCACTGAACTCATTTACTTCCACTTGCAGCACTTGATAATGATATATTTAATTTCAAATGCTGAAATAATCCTCTAAAGCCTATTAAAGATTATTTATAGTCTAAAATAACTAATCAAAATAGGAATACAGAATGATTATCTATGACTAACATTATAAATCACTTAAAGCATTATTTTAATTTAAAAATAGTCACCAAATACACAATTTCCTATAATTAAAGTTCATAAAAGTTAAAATACCTTTCTAATCTTTGTTGTAATACTGTGAGGTAATCTTTAAGTCTCTTGATCTCTTCACGTTTGATTCTTGTTATTTCTCTGTTTCTGTGCATATACCTATGAGGGAAAAAAATAACAATCACTAATTATTTCCAGATATCTTGAAAATAGATACAATGTTAAGTTTAATTATAAGTATCATTTAATTTGAAATTTTGTAAGTTATCAGATATATAACACAAAATAGTATTTTAAACAGCCTAGGGTGCAGTTATAACCACACATATTATGTGTTTATAAAACAAAATAAACATATCTACTTGATAAATAGTAAGGGTTATGTAACAAGCATAAATGAACATTAAGTGAAGAAAATTACACAAAATTTTCTCTAAACAACTATTCTTCCCTTGCAGGAAAATAACCATACCTGTCCAGATATAAAACTTGGGGAAATTCTAATTTATTGTGAATTTTTTCTGGTCTTCCCAATGCTTGATTAAATTCAAATCTTGACAACTCGAACGTTAATACCGGTGGTAGTTCCGTAAACCAATGCTGAAAGTAAGCAACAACAAAATGCTTAAAATCTCCTTTCTCCATGCTTTCTCCACAGCACTTTTAAGAACAGTACATTGATACTGACAACTTCATAAACTCACTTAAGCATACTATTTATCCGAAGAGTTAGAAATGTTTATATTCATAAATCAACAAATAGAGAAAGTAAAAGAATAGTTTTAAGTTCTTGTTTTTATGAGCCATGCCACAGACGACTGTTACAAGATACTGCAACACATACATTGCTGTGTGTTATAAATTCAAGTGCCACAAAAATGCCACCATATATCTGCCAGTAAGAGTACACTAATTGAACTCTGGATAGCTTGAAAAAAAAAAAGAAGAAGAAGAAATGTTTCAGACTTTGTAAATTGAATTTGATTAGGGTCTTCATGGTTGCTACTTTTCTTCAAGTAAAGCAAGTAAAGTAAATCATCACTCATTACTACTTATTCCAACCCAAATGTTCATGATTTGCTCCACTGAGAATTCCTAAACTGAACATGGATATGTTTTTACCCAGTTAAGATTTAAGAAACTTGTTTAAGGGCTGGAGAGATGGCTCAGCAGTTAAGAGCACAGACTGATCTTGCAGAGGACCTCAGTTCGATTCCCAGCACCCACATGGCACCTAACAACTGTCCTAACTCCATTTCCAGGGGATCTGATACCTTCTTCTGACCTCCGTGGGCACGATAAGGGATCACCTACCTACATGCAGGCAAAACACTCATACACATAAAATAAAAATAATATTTTTTTAAAAAGAAACTTGTTTAATAACAGTATTAACTACAATAAAGTTATCAAAGATCTAATATCATAAACATCTCAAGTTTTAAAATAGAAAATCTATTCACTTATTTTGAAAGCAGGTGGCATTGTCAGGAATTTCTAAGCTCTTAAAACAACCATTTATTTTTATGTATATATATATATATATGTATGTCTTTCTGTCTGTGTGTGTCTATGTATTTGTGCATACATGCAAGTGCCCAAGGGGGTCAGAAGTGGGTGTTGGATCCCTGAAACTGGACTTACAGGTGGTTATGAACCACCCAATTTGGATGTTGAGAACTGAGTTTGGGTCCTCTGAAACAACAGTACAGTCTTAGCCACTTAGCCATGTCTCCAGACCCCTAACTTCTTATCCACCAGTAAGGCTAGTTAACACTTAAAACATTATTTCAGCTGTCACACAAAGAAACTTTGTTCCCTTAGGATAATATTCCATATGTCGTTTCATGATACTCAAATATGCAACTCTAAGTGTTACTTCCAGATTTTATTACAATACTGGATAAAAAAATGCATGCTTAAAATTATCATGCTACACTTTTTTTAATTTTTTAAATTAAATTAATTAAAAAATTAAATTAAATTAACTAGTATGTGTATGAGTATATTGCCTGCATGTGTGTAAGTGCACCAGTGTTGTGCAATGCCTACAGAGGTCAGAAGAAGGTGTTGGATCCCCTGGAACTGGAGTTATGGATGGTTGTTAGCCACCATGTGGGTGCTGGGAATCGCATCTGGGTCCCCTGCAAGAGATCTTAAGCCCAGTCAGCGGTCTTAACTGCTGAACCATCTCTCCAGCCCCACAGGCTACACAGTTTAATTAATAAGAATGTATAGTGGCTAGGAAAAATAAAATGACCCGAACTATCAGAGGATCTTCTGTAGACTGTGGAAATACAGGAATCATTATTTTATACAACTTATGAAAAGTTGTTTACAAACATTATATAGTAATCTCTGTTGTAAATGCATTTCCTTCATCAGCAGGGGTAGGGTTTTTCCTACTATAAAGTGGAAAGACTTTATTTTCTCAGTCTAAAGCTCAAAAGGACAAGATGAAAAACCATACTTTTCCTAAATTCATCAAAAAAAAAAATCATCAATCATGTACCTCATTCTGAAATGTTTGTATTTTAAGTACAGTAGCATATAAACAGAATTTTATATAATACAAAACACATGAAATTCTTTTTTGAAGAAAACTTTCTTTTCAATAAAAATTATATTTACTTCTTAATTATCTAGTAGGTATGCTAGGTTAGTGAGACAGAGGCTGTTAAAGGCAAAGCTGATGTAATTTTTCATACCTCTGAGTACATAATCACTGAGATTATTAAACTATACAAAAAACAGCAGAAGGAAGAAAATTTTGTAGTTGGTAAGAAATCTGTATTATGACTGCTGACAGAATTAGTACTCTTGACTTTTCTTAGCTGCATAAACATTTTCTGGAGAAAATATATATATTTATGTGTAACTGAAGTTAGTTTATTAAAATATATTACAATATCTTGCTTTTGTAAGCTTATATAAATATAAACAAAATAAGAACAGAAGGAAAACACCTATTATTTCAAAGTCTCACAAAACAGCAAACAGAGCTAAGCTGTAAACTAAGCCTGAAAAGTAAAACTTTTCTATTCTAATTCAAAGTCCAGCTCTAGTCATTTCATTGGCTCCATTTATTTGCTTCTTCATTTTAAAGATAAAATTTCCACATAATATATAAATTTATTTAATAATGGTATATGATACTATTTTTTTCTTTTTTCCTTTCTTCCAGAACAGTAGTTTGAACCTAGAGCCTCATGAATGTCTCTAGGCAAGTATTCTGTTGAGCTATTTCACTGATCTTAAGATTTTTAAGATTTAGAAAATTCCTAGCATTCTAATATAACAGTATGATTTTTTGAGGTAATATGGTGGCACTTACATATTTAAATGATTATGTCCTACGACCCAAAATATCCACTTCTAACTGTTCTTCAACCTTAAGGGTATTTATAGAAAGACACTCTTTAAAATAATTCTCTAACTATGATTTATCAATACAAATGTATAAACAAGACTATATGATACTGAAGTGTTTTATAACATTGTTGTAAATGTGTATATTGACTTGGAGGAATGGTCATAATATGCTGGATAAAAATATAAGTGTCAGAATAGTGTGAGCAGATAAACACAATTATATCTGCAGTGCAGTAGTCTGAAAGAATGTTTGTCACATTATTAATGAATAGTCAAACCATAAGTGAAGTATTTACTATTTAAAGTTTCTTTCTCCAAAACTAATCTGTCTTTAGGTTTCCTAGAGAATGTGACTACATACTATTTAGTTAAAATAAAAAACTGATTAGGAAATGTTTTATGACATGCTTCTGTCAATGGTGGATTAAAATATGGTGGTCACAAAGAAGTGAAAAATTCTTACCACCCACTAACATCTCAGTATAATACATTGGCCATAGATTTGTAGCAATGCTGGCATAAAGAAACCTATGCTGTTAATAATGTTCCACTGTAGTGCATATAACTATGCACAGAACACAACAGATTACAGCAGTTTTAACTATTGTTTTAAAGTATACTTTCTAATTATAAAAAAAGAATGTCACTATAAAACAGCATACTATGCTGTTACAACAGCTGCCTCACATATTTCATCATTACCATGCCACTTGGCTGCTTCAAAAGGCAACAACTGATTGCCCTGTACCATGTAGGTTTCTGAAGTATATGCTATGGCAGCTACACAATGAAAACTGCCTAACCATATATTTCTCAGACTGTATCTCCTTAACAAGTGAGGCATGGTTACAGTTAAACTGCACATAATCATTTTTAATTCATTTGTTGCTTAGGATAACATTCCATAAGCAGAGTCTTACAGGCAACTGTCTTTTTGTTCATGTCGAGCAATTCTAGACATGGGAATTCTTCCTATATTGATTGGCAAGAGCTACTTCAGTCAAGAAGATACTTTGAGTGCCAAATTAAAATCAATAATTTTTAGTAAATAATAGAAGAAATATTTTAGTAGGGATTATACCAATTTAAAAATAACATCAAAATGTCACTTACTGGTCACTTGAGAAGATCAACTGGCCTTGAATAAAATAGTTATTTTAAACTACACAATAGGGGAAATGGCTTCCAGGTCAATTCCAGGTCCATTGCTCCAAATCCAGTGTCCAAAGACCCTTCAGCAGTAGGGTCTTACCTTCAAGTTCTATGAGGCAATCAAGGACTGGGCAATAGCCTGTAGAATTTGGGGAGTCTCTTGGGCCACCCTGGCCAACAACTCAAAGGAAGGTTTCTCCTGTCTGGCACTGTTTCTTGTTATGTAGCCTTCAGCTATACACATGGACTCATGTAGAGATATTGCATGTGTAATTTTTCAGTAGGTTTTTGAACTAATATGTCTCCCTCTGTTTTTTTTTGCACCAGCTAGGCATTATTTATCTCTCCTCTCTCTCTCCCTCCCACCTCCCTCCCCAGTTAAAGGACCCCCATTTTCCCTGTCTCCTATGGTCTCCCCTTTCCTGAGCTCCTTCTTTCCCTTTCCCCGCATTGTTCCTTGTATAACCAACACCCCCCTCATTTGACCCATTTCCGTTTCATTTTCCTGGGTCCTGCAGTTACAACAGGATATATACTCACATATAAGGATTTGGTGCTAGAATCCACAAATGAGGGAGAATGAACATCACTTGTTCTTCTCTCCTGTCTGGCACTGTTTCTTGTTATGTAGCCTTCAGCTATACACATGGAATCATGTAGAGATACTGTATGTGTAATTTGTCATTGGGTTGTTGAACTAATATGATTCCTTCTGGTTTTTAAAAAGTAGCTAGAGTATCTGTATTCTCTCTCTCCCTGTCTAACCCTTTTACAGTGGCTTCCCCATTTAAAGAGTCCCCATTTCCCCCATTTCTCTCTTGACAATACCAGTCTCCTATGGTCCCACCTCCCTTCAGCTCCTTCTTACCCTTCATTCCGAGGTTCAGGGAAAACATCAATCGATGGTCCAACACCAGCTTCAAGACCTAATAACCACATCAATGCCTGGCATAGCATATGACATTAGGGCAGTAGTGGCATTTTTCTTGGGGGAAAACAATAGCTACCTAATTGGACTAAAAGCCCATTTAACAGGAGGAAATTCAAGTGTGATACTGTAAATATAACCAAATACATATGGCTGGAGAGGTCATAGATCTTAGAGAATAATCTCAAGACTGTCATATCCCTAAACTAATGTAATTTCATACTATGTGCAAAATATTTACCCTTATATTTACAGACAAATATCCCAGTCACTACTCAAAGAAGTTTCTTTTGCACCAGATGGAGACTATTACCAAGTACTACAACTGGTCACACACAGACACTATCTATGAACTGCCCAGGCCTAAGTGGCACATCTACAATGCAACCTCTAAAGCTAAGGCTCATGGAACATAGAACAGGGGTAAAAAGGACCCAACTGAATCTCTAGATTCTAATAAATGAAGCTCCCTCATGCAATAAAGGGCCAGGAACACAAAAGGTCACAAATGGCCAAAGCATGGAGTCTGCAGAATGCTGGTCCTTGGACAGGACTCATATATAAAAACCTCGCCCGCCCAGGGTTCAAGGAGCACTGCGGAAGAGGGGGAAGAAGTGCCTGACCATATGGAAACAGAGTCCTACAACCTCCTGGGACCTTGCTCATATGAATCTACAGCAATGGTAGATTCAGCATACACAAGTCCCATGCAAACTCAAGCAGAAAAAACTCATCAAAGAACTGGTGAAATCAACAGCAGACCCCAATCTTAGCTGAAGAAATATTGGCAACTGATTACTGCTAGGTGAGAAAGAGCTGATCTTCCTAAAGCAAGGGACTCTAGATAGGCTGACTAGACTCAGTAGATTATCTTGGAATAAGGAATGGCTGGGGACATTACTTGACACAATAAGCCTTAGCATAAATGACAGAATATATGAATTCCAGTCGAGAGGCTATGGAAGGGTGCCAGTGGGAAGTGGGCACATAAAAATGATTAAGATCGCTAGAGATGTTCTGTATGAAATACACAAAAATTCAATAAAAACAAATTAAAAAAAAATAAAGAACACATAAAATGAGCCAATTTAAATATTAAAATATTTCAAGATATTAAACTCTAGTCATTGATTAAAGTACATTTGTTGAATTATGAAATCATTTGCTATAATACAACCAGTTTTTCAAAATTAGTAAATAAGAAAGACTACCAATGGACCACTGCATAATCACTTAAAGGTATTATGCAAATGGTAAGGCAACAGGTCATCCCTACTTTCCTGTCTCAGAACACATCTTTCTTTAAGACTTCAGGAGTGGCAGCTGATCACTGTTGGTTGAATTGATCTTCTTTAAGGGAGTGACCCTAAATAGGCTGACCAGGCTCCAGGCGACAAACTCACACCCAGGGCCACCTGAGGACACAAACTTGACTTGATAGTCCTTAATAGGTATATGACAGAATACATGAAATCCAGTAGGGGGACTATGGGGTGTGTGCAAATGGGGGAGAAGGTCTAAAAAGGATTTATTGTATGAAATGCACAAAAATTATATTTATACATAAATATATAAATTATATACACATATATACATTTTATATATACATACATACATATATACAAATAGAGACACACACACATATATAAAATACACACAAAAGAAATCTCAAAAACAGATTTTCTTGAAAAAAAGAAAAAAAAAATTCAGGAGATCCGCTTTCTTGTTCCACTATGTGATTCTGCACAAACCCCAATCTTTGGAAATCTGTTTTCCATGAAACTGAACTTAAACATTCTTTACTAGAGGCACAAATTATAAACACTTATGACCCTCATGGATCATAGCCATACCCTGGACTCTTGAGAGCTCTGATACTCGGTCAGGGCCTTGGCATCTATTGAGAATCACTCAAATAGACTACATATGATATAGATGTAAAACTACTGCTAATCCCCCCTCCCTTTTCCTCCCTTTCAAAGCAAAAGCATCAAAATTATTTTAACACTTTAAAAAATTAATAATTAAAATCATTAGTTAATATAA